TTGTGGCCTTGATTGTCATGGATTTGCGATTTGTCCTTCTATAACACCACTCTATGAAACTCTTCTGCTGTTTCATCATTCAGAGTTGCTCTGAAAACCACCAAATCCTCTGAGCTAAGATCCAAGTGCAGGGACAGAGCACTCATGTCCTCATGAGAAACCTATATACAAGTCAAGTAGTTATATATGGTTCAAACCAGGGGTGAGTTGTTGTCAGTGTTGCTGCCAGTTTGCTTCGTGCGTGCACAATTGACTGTAAATTGTTCTGCGCATGCGCAGAACATTAAAAAAGTACTAAAAAACATGCCGGCAATGGCAACTGGGGAACTAGTTCGGGAGCGCGGCCAGCCTGGGTCACTGCCAGTTCTGCAACCAAGGCCAAAATACCACTGCTGGTTCACCCAAACCGGTGAGAACCGGTAGGAACTCACCTCTGGTACAGACAGAACATGTCAAAATGGTGGGCTCCAGATTAGCAAAGGAGTTAGTCAAAGCCATATACTCTCCACTCATGTATTCATGCTGAATATATATTAAGGGAAGTTGGCTTGGAAAATGAACATGGTTTTAAAACTGAAGGGACCTGTGCTATGCTGATGACATTACTCTGATAGACAAAAACATAAAACATCCACAAGCTCTTGTGATAAAAATCAAGGAATGCTTGATAAAAATGGAACTAAAATGAAATACTGTATAAAGACAAACACGTGACAACAGGTACAATCAGCCTTTAAACTAATGACGAAGATACTGAAGAAGTGAACAGCTTCTGCCTTTTAGGATCAGCCATTAGCTGTAAAGGATCAAGCAATCAAGAAATATGCCACAGACTGGCACTTCATAAAGCAGCCATAAAGTCCTTGGAAAAGATATTCAGATGATGTGATATGACTATGACTACAAAGATTGGAACAGTGACAGGAATGGTATTTCATATGACACTCTATAGAAATGAAGTCCATAAAGTATACCCAATCGATCTTTGAAGGAGTAAGATAGAAAGAGCTTTTGAACTTTGGTGTTGGAAGACTCCTGAGAATACTATGGACAGCCAATAAAATAAACAAGTGGATGATTGAACAAATCAACCCAAAGTTTTCATTTAAGGCACAAATGATTAGACTCAAATTATTCTATTTCAGACACATTATACAGAGGCTTAGCTCTCCGGAGAAGGCAACAGCACAGGGAAAGCTGGAAGGAAAAAGAAGACGACTAAGAATAAGGTGGATAGACAGTAGCAATCACAGAACCTACCTTTATAAAAAAAGTCTTTATATCAGGTTATCTTGGAGCATGCCTCTGAAAATGACAATGGTCTTCCAGATGGCATTAGGCTCTCCCCATCCCTGCCCAGGGGTTGTGGTTGATGTGACATCTACTATGTATGTCTCCAGCTGTTAGGTTAGGTCCATAATTATACTGGTGGACTTGAACTCTGGAGTTGCACCCCAGTTCAAAATTAGTCAGGAGGGGAGATTAAAATTTCCAAGAACAATAAGCCTTCAGATTCTAGCAAAGTGTTGCTTGATATAACTTGGTGCTGCACCATGTAGGATTTTAAAGGTTAAAAACAGCACTTTGAACAGGCCGCAGAAGCCTAATGATAATCAACACAATGAGTTTAAGATAAGTTTTATTTTTGAGCAGCAGAGTTGTCTCAGTAGTGAATCTCCATAACAGAACTTTGGACTAGCTAAAAGCCATATGTAAAGTGTTACAGTACCCCCTACTACCTCAACAGCACAATGATCAAGTTTAATTATTTATTTTTTAGTTATTTCAAACATGTAAAACTATTATAGGACCACTATTTATTTTTTGCTGGATTATTCAGCACATTCTGTTACAATCCAATTGGACATACCTTGTATTTAATAGTGAGTTGTGCTGAATATTAAGTACAATATGTATTAGAAGAGGGACGCAGTGGCTCAGTGGCTAAGACAGTGAGCTTGTCGATCAGAAAGGTCGGCAGTTCGGCTGTTCGAATACCGAGCGCCGCGTAACAGAGTGAGCTCCCATTACTTGTTCCAGCTTCTGCCAACCTAGCAGTTCGAAAGCATATATAAATGCAAGTAGAAAAATAGGGTGGGAAGTTAACAGTGTTCCATGGACTTTTGGCATTTAGTCATGCCGGCCACATGATCACGGAGATGTCTTCGGACAGCACTGGCTCTTCGGCTTTGAAACGGAGATGAGCACCACCCCTAGAGTCGGGAACGACTAGCACATATGTGTGAGGGAAACCTTACCTTTATGTATTAGAAACAATATTCTGTATTAACTGGATGTCAGTGGGAAGTCTGCAAACAGGATGAGGTTGGAAGAACCTACCTTATGTTCTTCAAAACCCATATTGAGAGGCCTGCTGCCTCTGAGACTGAAGATCCAAGCAACTTACATGGCTGGCATCAATAGACTTATTCTCTATGAATTAGTTTAATCTTCCCAGGAGGCTAAACAGGTTCATTGCCATTATAACATCTTGTACTTCATAGAGAATTCACTTGAGTGAATTGCTATTAATCCCGTCCTACCTCAGCTTCATAGCTGAGCCTGGTTACATAATTATGGGAGAAAGAAGACTCTCTAGCTGTTTTTTTAAAACTATGCCTAATTTTATATCTTTTTATTATATTCTAATTTGTTTGCCCTTTTTAATAAATGAAAGATCCCCAGTCTGTGCTACCTTTTCTTAAAAGGATCTTGCTCAAGTTCTTTTACCATTTTGATTGCCAAGTAATGTCTGAATACACAATTCTGATAAAACCTCAATTGTGTCATCAATTTTATAGATATATTACCTTTGTGAACACCCTCTTTCTTTCAGGACAAGAACATCTTCTCAGTTTTTGTGAAATAAAAATTTCAGGTAATTTTGTGTAATTTTCCAGAAATTCTTATTTCACAAAAATGGAGATGATGTTCATGTCCTGAAACAAATAGGGTTTTCACATTCTTAAACTTTTAATCTTAATTAGATGCAACTCCAATCATCCTTAAATGTTATGATCTCTCTTCTGCACTAGCAATTTATAGTGTCACACAGTGGGGGCTGTGGCCTTTACACCTATCTTGTTGGGGGGAAATATTTCCACAGGGGTGAGGATGGGTCAGATATTGTATAAATTGCCAGCAAAATAATATTTAGGAGGAGGAAAGAATACAGGTAGCTCTGGATTTACAACTCACAATTGTGCTGAAAAATTGTTGCTAAGCAAGACAGATAACTTGAGTGTTGCCCCATTTCATGCTCTTTCTTGGCACAGTTGTTAAGCGAATCACTGAAGTTGTTAAATTAGTAACATGGTTGTTAAGTGAATCTGGCTTCTCCATTGATTTTGCTGGTCAGAAGATCATAAAAGGTGATCACGTGACTCTGAGACACTGCAACTGTCAAAAATATGAACCAGTTGCCAAGTGGCCAAATTTTGATCGGTTGAAGATGAGCCCGCTGGAACAGTTGTGAGATACGATCCAAAGTCACTTTTTCAGGGCCGTTATAAGTCACTAAACGAATGGTTGTGAGTCGAAGACTACTTATATTGTAATGTTGACCAATTATATATATAAGAGCGGGATAAAAATCTGAAGGAAAATGTTTAGTAATGAACGAGTAAAGGCCCCTCCCACCCCTGGTTCAGCACTCTTGGGCAGAGAAGCTACAAGGCGTCTGGCTTTATGTGGCTGGGGACGGAGGGCAGCTGTTCGATTCCCAGGATCCATTCCCAACCGAAGCACCGGGAGCCAACCAGCAGCAGCAGCGCGCACCGAGCTCCTTCAACTCCTCCAGAGGCGCGCGTCGACGGTGTTGCACGAACGCCGGTCCCTCTCAGCACCGGGGCCCTCGCTACCAGGGCCAAAAGAGAGAGAGAGAGAGACCCACCCCGGCATCTAAGGAAACCATCTGGCCGCGAGTTTGGCGTGCGAGAAAGGTCAGCGCGGCCACAAGTGAGCGCCGCTGGGGAGCGCCTCCCGCTGCCGCTCCTCCTCCCTTTCGGCGCGCCTGCCCTCCCTGACAGGAAAACATGTATTTTTTATTATTTTTATTTGCTTGCGCTTTAGAATAAAACCTCCAGGGCTTCGGCCGGTTCTCATACACAGGCGTGTGAATGAAGGAGCGCTTTCGGCGCCTAGCAGCACCAGCTCTAGCAGGGGCGGCAAGCGCAACTCCTCCCAGCACCTGGTCACCAAGCCCTCCCCTCCTCCCGGCTTGCCTCCATTGCCCCAGCCCCAGAGCCGGCAGCGTGCGCTTCCATTGGGCACGGCTCGCGTTTCCTTTTGCTTGCGCGGGTCGCGGGCGGCCAGAGCTTTGGCTGGCTGCTCCTTTTCAAAGCCCGCGCGAGCACCGTTTTGTGCGCGGGGCGCGCAGATCTGAACCCCAAGCAGAGCCTTCTTTTTTTTTAAAAAAAAAATAACACTCGGTTCTTCTTGGATTTCAACCCGGGATATTTTCGCGCAGCCCCTTCTGCAAGGTAGTGGAAGGATACCCAGATATTTTGCCGGGGGGGGGGGAATCCCTCCTCCCGTTCCTTACCGTTCGGCTCATCCCTCTGCTACTTGCATTTAGTTTGAAAGCAACCTGCAGCCAGCCCCGCCTGGGAAGTTTCCGTTCAACTGCCACTCCGCTTAGCGCGTTCAAGGTGCCTTTGATAAGTCTCTCTGGGTGCATTTGCCTATAAGCCGCTGCTAGGAATCGGACTGTTGCTTTCCCAGCTCTTTCACAGGCAAACACCCCCCCCCCACCACCACCACCTTCCTCTTCCAGCCCACATAGCCGATTTGCTGGAGATGAAGGGGAGGGAGTGGTGAAATGAACAAGAAGCGGTTACATTGATTAAGACTAGTTTCCTCTTCAAACGGCGGCTCGGGGGAGAAAGAAAGCGCAGAGCGAAAGGCGATCCGAGGCGGCAGCCCAAAGAGCTTGGGGAAGAAGGGGTGGTGGTGGTGGGGGGAGATCAGAGCCTTGCTGTTGGCAGCGGCGAAGCTTTGGCTGCCTTTTTTTTTTTTTTGCAACGGCGAAGGATTGCTTCTAGGCGCTAGGGGTGCTGGCTTGTTAGGGCGCTTCTGCAGTTCGCCGTCAACATGCACGCGCGCTCTATCTGACTGCATTTGACTTATAATGCCGGCTTCTCTTTGGAATGCAAAACCGTGCACAGGATGAAATCAGGTTTGTTAACGACTATTCTTTGTGTGTGCGTGTGGGCATATTTGGAGGAAAACAAATCCCCGCGTTTCAACCCCCCCCCCCCCAGATGTCAGAAAGGATCATAGCAACAAGACAGTGGCAGTCACCTCATTACAGGGTGTCTCGTGCTCATCTTTTGATATGTTTTTTTTTTAAAGAGAGATGATGAATCTTTTATGCAGCTGGCTTCTTGGAACCGTCCAGGAGCATCCCAATTTGCAGTGCATTGCTGCTTTGAAGAAATGTAGTTTTTTTTTTAAAAAAAAAAAACCTGTAAGAGCTCCTCCTTTAACGATGGTAAATAAACATAGGTGGGAAGGAGGCTAAAAGGCAGTAAGGAGCCTGTGTGGTAAGGTGTGCTTTTCCCCTTGCTTTTCCCGCTCTTGAGAATTTTTTCCTCATAATTTTTTGCCTCACACAGGGAGTCTTCCATCTGAAAAGCAGCTGCCTGGGTTTTCTGTATCTTTGAAAAGTAAAACAGGTTAAGTTATGGGTTAACTCCTCTCCTTCTACTAAGCAGATTCTTCCAATAGCAGTCCTTCCACCTGTTCTGTTCAAAAGCATGTCTTGATTTCTTTGCATGTTTTTCAGGTCACTCTGCCAGAATGCCAGAAGAAAATTCCCCAAGGTCCTCTCCTCAGAAAATCCCATATCAGGAGCTTCCTCACTTGGTCAATGCTGATGGGCAATATCTTTTCTGCAGGTACTGGAAGCCAGCTGCTGCTCCAAGGTGAGCACTGTTTAACAATGCATTTGTTGTCTGTGATAAATACATTGTTCATTAAGTTCCACGGTTGTTTGTTCAACAGTCCATGGAATAATAGAAAGGTCTTGTCCCAAACAATCTCTTAGCAAAAGAAACCTTGATCCTTTATTGTTTGCACTAAACTAAAGCAGTAGGTTGAAATCTTGCTCTTGAGTAACAGTTCCTAAACCCACCCAAGTGCCTGTATATTTCAGCAATAAGAGAAGAACTGGTTATTAATCATTCAGCCTCCTACTCAGAGAATAGGACTTGTTACATGCATAAGTAAAAGCAACTCAGATGAGTAAGGTTTGATAATTCTCTCTTTCTGTCTTTCTCTTTTAGTTCAGTAAAATGAAACAGTGAGCCCTGTGTTTTGGCATTGAAATAGGTATTTTAATTGAGTGGTATTGCATTCTAAAGATATGTGAAGCTTAGTCTAAGTTATTTACGTCTCAGTTACAATTTGTCATTTGAGTGACATTCTTCTACTGTATTTTGGCTATAGGGTTATGAGGGCCTCCAGTACACAAAATATACTTACAGTAATTTAAGAAGTAAACGATAGCCATTAGGTAATCCTATTTTCATAATCCCATATGAAATAATGTATTTGTCCTTGTGATTTATAATTCAGAAACACTGGGGTATTCTTAATGAAGATACTGTTTGGATTTTCTCATATTTTTTTACTGGGTTCTATTTGTGGAGTAGAGTAATGCACATAAAAAGGTGACGTTGTTCAGAATAATCTTTTTTACTTTTATATTGCAAAGAAATCTCCAATTTTAGAAAATTATTACTCCAAAGCAATTCTTTTATTTTAGTAGCTGTTAAAGCATTCTGGCTTGAGGAGTTAATAAACTTTGTATGGTGTGCTAAGAGGATAAAGAGAGAAACGCAAGTCAAATCAGTGATCCACCTAACTTATTTTTCTAAAAAAGAAGAGTGGCAAACATGCATGGTCATCTCCAGTTTTCATGCTAGGTTTTTTGGGCGGGGGTGGGTCAATTCATTCTTGTTGCAAGGCACAGTGAACTATTGATTTTAACTACCGGTAGGTATGTGGATGTTTTACGAAAGGTTGTGGTATCAGTTACTCAACGGGTATGTGACATTTATGAACCACAGAAGGTAAAGACCAATCAAAGTGCTCCTTTCAACAAAATAGGTTCTTTCCCAATTACTTGAGGGTTGTTGTTTTTTTTAAAACCATAATGTACTGTTTTCCATCTCATTCATGTATGATTTACTTAAAAATCCATTCATCTAATTCAGGGCCCATCTTAAGCCTCTGACCTTTCACCTAGAAACCAAACCTGAAGAATCTTTGTGCTTTGTTCTCTTCAGCACCCAAAGTTGCCCTCCAAAATAGAACTTCAGAGTAATTTCAAAAGCATTGCCTCGGCAGCTCGTGCCTTTCCCCCTTGCTTTGTGAGCTTTACATGTATGCATTGAGGGGCTTTTTTCTAAGTCTTGCTAAGACCAGGGGACAAAGGTAACATGATTTGGGACTGCCTTTGAAGCATCTCTGGGTCTGACTTTGACTACATGTTTCATAAAAGTAGCTTCACCAAGCCCAGTGGGAAACTTTTGGCCAATACTTGTAACGAGACACCTGGCATCTTCCTAAAGATTTCAGTTATTGAACCAATACAGTCTTAAAACAAGCTTCTTCTATGAAAATTATCCTGTCCCTATTATAATGCTAATTAATCATTAACTGCCTACCGTGTTCTTCGATGAGTTGCTGAATTGCACTCCCCATTTTGTGTTTAATTTCTAAGTAAATTAGTGTAGTTCACATGGGTCTTTGATCAAGAAATGAAAGGATGGTAAAGAAGTGAAAGTTAGAATTTAGCATTTCAGGCTTCTGGTAACTTGTCTTGTTAGGGCTCTGCATACCCCAAGTGGTTAATTGATAGCAAGAGTGTCCTGGTTTTCTGACAACAAAGTAAGCACGGCCAGTTCTGTTCACTTACAAGTGGCTCTTAACTGTGTGGAACCATTTATTTTTAGCCTCTATTGTATTGTGCTGGCAGGGTTTGAGAGGGAGATTATAGGTTGCTGGAGAATAATTTGTCAACTGCAGCCAACTTTCATGGGACAGTCTTGAAATATATGGAGAAAAAGATTCCTCATTGTTTTCTACTATGTGGTAGATTTTCATGACTCATCATGAAACTCTACCACATAGTAGAAGCACTGAAGATTTGCTAGGTTTTAAATGATGAATGGCATGAGTTGGGAAACAGCCTTGAATCACTTTTACAGTACTATTAATCTAACAGAATTTCAGATACAGAAGAAGAATTGGTTGTAGTTTTGTTAGCTATAACACAAGAGATTCACATTTATGTTTCTCCTCTTGAGTATAGGTTTTGACTCAAAAGGCCACTGGAATTTGTAAGAAAAATACTAAGAGCTGCTAGACTTCCTGTAGTGTGAGAACTTTTGAACCTTCCCTATGCAAAAGTTTTTTCCTACCAATATGTCCTTGCATGAAGAGGAACCAAAAAAAAGCCAGAACGTGTAAACTTTATCAGCATGCTTGTTCTATCATTCACAAAGTTATAATTGCCAAAAGCAGTTCTGATTGTACATGCATCTTGTCTCCGAATTTCATTTATTTTTCCTAAGGAGAAAAAGCAATATATTTAAAATAACCACATAGAACATTTTTGAATAAATAGTTTAGAACTTTTTCTCTCTCTAGCACATTCTGTTAGAAATAGACATTCGGTTTTTAAAATACATGCATACATATGGCTGTCTGTGTGTGTATACACACCTATCAAAATTATTCTTGGATATCCTTTAGTGGGGATGCCAACTTACAGCATATTGTGGGATAATCTTTTATCTCAGTTCTCATAGAAAATTAGATGTTATCATCCAGGTCAATTAATGTTAAAAGCAGGTGATATTAGAGTGAAAATCTGTTAGATGTACAGACAAGAATAATGATGATTCCCTAAGTTCAGGTTACATTTACATAAGTACCCCTATCACTTGTATGTTTTCTGTTCAGGCACCTCCCCCCCCCCTACAGTGAGTGGGGGGGAAAGATCCTGGTAACTCTCCCACAATCATTCTTAATGTATAGAACTACATGGTGATTAATAAGCTCATGTCTCCCTGTCAGGTTTCCTTTGGCTGAGCAGATGGGATTAATTTAATAAAATTGATCCTGCATTTGGTAAGTAAATAAGGGGTAGATAGGAGAAAGTACAAAAGTATTTGGATTTCATGTTAAGGAAGCAGAATGAAGAAAGGCTGAATTTTTTTGAGAAATGACAAATGTTGCTGAACTACTGGCACAGTAAAACAAGGACAAAACTCTAAGCTGAGTTGGGGGGAAAGAAAGAAAGGGAAAGCGGGGAGGTGGTTGGGGTTTTTTGGTGTTTTTTTTTGCAGAATTGTGGCGGGGCCTCTTTTCTAAGGTCAATCTTGAGTGCAGAGTAGGCTTACCATGTCCTTTACTATTTCCTATATATAGATATAGGTATAGATAAGCAATCTGAGACCTCCAGTTCTTTTGAATGTCACTTCCCTATCAAGCACAGTCAACATGGCCACCTTAAAATGATTATCGGAGCTATAATCCAAAATTTATGAAGTCCTAGGTTGCTTATCATTGTCCTAGTAAGTGTAAACTAGAAACATGGAAGCGAGTGATACAGTAAGTAAACCAGTTGTGCTTTGGTTAAAATGACAAGTAGATCATATACCACCTGTTGTATTGTGGGATAGACTAAAAAGATTTCATGATTTATTTTAGGATGCACATTTTATTCAGTACATGGCAGAATGTGTGGGATTTTTTCCTTCTACAGTAATTGGATATTGAGGTAAAGCAGTGCAGCTGTGCCTCTCCACCTGCAGAAGCATTTCAACTTATTGAACTTGATTTGTGTGAACTGTGATTAAGTCCTTTTAAAATGCAAATCAATTTGATATGTAACATGGGTTGGGGTAACTGAGTCATCTCTCATAACAAGAAAAAATGTTTGTTTGTTTTAAAGCTGTGATCAGATCTCTGGTACTAAACAAGATAGTTGTCAGGCCTTAAATGTATAATTTAAGTTATAGATATAGCGTACAAGAATAAGTTCAGAACAGTTCAACATTGTTTGGAAAATTGGATAATCATTAAACAGAAAACCTACCTTTTAAATACAATCAGTACATTTTCACCATGGTTAAACCTAGTCTTTCCTATAAGATCTTTAAAACTACAACCCTAGGCCCATTTACTTGGAAATAAGCCACACTGAACTCATTGAAATTCACTTCTAAGTTCCTCTGTGTGAATAAATCTTTCCTCCATCTATTTCAGTTTTGCTAACTGCCCTTCCAGTAGCTGTCTTTCAAAGTATTAATAGCTTCTTAAATGCATACATTTTTATTTTCCATGTATGGTTGCATAAAGCATCTGACTCTGTTGAGGTAAAAGCATGCTTATTTCTTCTGTGTATCTGAGACTGACTCTTAGGTTGAAAAAGTAATAAAGGTCCTTTCTATGTTTGAATACACACACACCATTTAAGGAAGATGCTTAATTTGAGTTCCATAAACAAAAGAGAATTACATCATCTGTTATTTGGACGCTAACATGCTATTTTTCTGGAGGAAAAAATGATGCTTGTTTTATCTACACGCTGTTTTCTGGAACTCCATCTGTATGTGAGTATTATACACATACAGAACATTTTCCAAACTGTAACTAAACAATTGAAAAATCCTCTTTCTGTCTCTCTTTCTCCCTCCCTCCCTCCCTCCCTCCCTCCCACCCTCCTCTGCTTCTAATTATTTTAGCTAAAACTATTCAATTAACTAGCTGTTATATGATATATTGTTACATTAAAATATATATTTTACATTCATTGAAGTTTATATCTGACCCTTGAAACACATATCGGATGATATAACAATGGTGACTATTCATGGGCCAGCTTGCTTGTCCTCATGCAACTTTCCTGCTG